GCCCGGTGTTGCTACACATTTTGACAAATAAAGGCCCGTCTCAATTAGAAGCCTGGTCTGTTTGCCAAGCAGTTCATTTTTATAGAAGTTCTTGTTGGCTACCCACTTGAGCAAATGTCGGTTAGCTGTTATGATCGCACATACAAATATAACCAAGCACACCAAAGAAGACCAAAATTTATTATGTCCGAATATGTGTCCGTTCCTCCCTTATCCACTAAGTTGTTCATATTCCTTTAGTCCGTAAGGGTCAACCCGGTCTCACTCCGAAGTCATCGAAATCCGGCGCTTAGGTAGTGACCTGTGGCATCAGACACTGACGAATAAAGGGCGTATTTCCCATCTTAGCTGAGCAACAGTTTTGTGTGAAAGGAATTAAAGGCCTGTCCCATATAGAAGCCTGTTGAGATCAGTAATTTAAAAGCCCGGGCTATTAATTGAAGTTTTACGGTAATCAATAATCCCCTACGAAGTTTCCTGTTTAAATTTGTACTAACTATAGGGAATATAGAAAGAAAGTTAATATTTGTTCATAGTCTATTGGGAACTTTATTCTAGTCTATTATTATTTAATACATTCTTTATGTATTCCTGTAGACAAATCTTTCGTTTTTGCATATAAATCAGTCAAAATAATTTATTTAGAAGGGCACAAACTACCTCCAGTTTATTACATTAAGTTATACCTATACTTACAGTTCGTACCAGTGATGTTGTGGAAAATTCTGTTACATTAAAATTTGGAATTTATGATCGCGGAAAATAAAGCATCCCCAAGCATTTATGTCACATTATTTGATAAACAACTGAGTCTAAAACACGGACTGAATGAAACCAGCTGGACTGTAACATCTAACTGTTATTAAATCCTACATACAGTCAGGTCCGTAATTATTTGGACAATGATACAGTTGTCATCATTTTGGCTCTGTACACCACCACAATGGGTTTTAAATGAAACAATGAATACGTGCTTAAAGGGCAAAACACCCAAAACACAAGCAGGAAGTGCAGACGGCTGCAGTAAAGGGCTGGCAGAGCATCACCAGGGAAGAAACCCAGCATCTGATGATGCCTATGTGTCCAACACTTCAGGCAGTCATTGACTGCAAAGGATTTGCAACCAAGTATTAAAACTGACTGTTTAATTGATGATTATGTTAGTTTGTCCAAATACTTATGAGCCCTTAAAGTTGGGGGACTGTGTGAAGAAATGGTTGTAATTCCTACACGGTTCATACTACATTTTTGAAAAAAGCCTTAAATGAAAGCTGAGAGTCTGCACTTTAAGCAGGTATTCATTGTTTCATTTAAAACCCATTGTGGTGGTGTACAGAGCCAAAATGATGACAACTGTATCATTGTCCAAATAATTATGGACCTGACTGTAGATAGTTTGTATTGTGCTCCATTACAGATATACAACCTGTTTCCTTGGCTCGGCCCTTGTCTTAAAAACTGGAGGGCTTTGATGAGGAATGGGGAGGACTACAGGAATGACGTAAGACGCTTGATAGCAGAGCTGAAGGAGACTCTGAACCCTGAGATGTGCAGATGCTTTGTTGATGCATTCCTGACCCGTATGATGAATCTGGAGGTGAGGTGTCCGACTCCAGTGAATAAACTGGCTGATATTACTGATCAGTAACTCAGTCCCTCTTTTCTGTGTTACAGGAGTCTGAAATCAAGGATTCGCACTATCATGACGACAACCTTCACTACAGTGTGATGAATCTGCTCACAGCTGGGACTGACACTACAGCATATACACTTCAGTGGTGCCTCCTGTTTATGGCGAAGTACCCACATTTTCAAGGTGCTCGTCCTTGGTGAAATTTAGTTAACATTGTTTGCATAAAATTGGGTTAACTTTTCAAATTAATCTCAATTTTATGTGAGTCCAGACCGGGTCCAGGAGGAGCTGGACAGGGTGGTTGGAAGGCGTCAGGTTGGAGTAGAGGACAGGAAGAACCTGCCATACACTGATGCTGTCATTCATGAGTCACAAAGATTTGCTAACATTGGCCCCTTGGCCCTTCCTCACAAAACCAGCCAAGACGTCACCTTCCAGGGCTACTTTATCAAAGAGGTCAGTCGCACTGCACATTTGCTTTTGTTAGATAATTTATTCTCCAAAAACATTTGGTTTTGAGAATTTAAACAGTACACCTGCTCTCTTCTTTTGGCTGCAGGGGACTACTGTGTTTCCTCTTCTTACTTCTGTCCTGTATGATGAGAGCGAATGGGAGACGCCACACACTTTCAACCCTTCCCACTTCCTGGATAAGGAGGGTAAATTTATCAGGAAAGACGCCTTCATGCCCTTTTCTGCAGGTACAACAACTGTGCATAGATATATCACAATCCTAAAGACATGATCCAGTTTAACTCCCTGCAACGCTTTGCTCTCACAGGTCGCAGGGTATGTCTGGGAGAGAGTCTGGCCAGAATGGAGCTCTTCCTCTTCTTCACCTCCCTCCTTCAGCGCTTTCGTTTCACTCCTCCACCTGGAGTCACAGAGGATGAACTGGATCTGACACCAGTTGTTAGCTTCATCCTTAACCCTTTACCTCATGAGCTGTGTGCCGTCAGTCGCCAATGAGGAAGAGAGCTGGAGCATGTAAAGCATGAGAAGTACCAGCCAATCACAGCAGAGCAGGGTGGGACTAGGTGAAACACTCTCGGGGAAAAATGTGCGCTTATAACTGTCTGTTTCACTGGTATAAATGTTGTTTTAGTGAGCAAACTGAGCAGCCAGCAGATGTCCCCATGTCCCCATCTTGAACCACCTTGCCTCTTCGAACACAGATAATAGTGGTGGTGGTTTAAGTCTTTCCAGTTGAAATGGGACAACCCTTCAAGACTGATATGTCATCAGTAGTCATCAGAGCTATCATTTACATAAAAAAAAATGTGTCAAGTGTTGCTGGACATTGCAAACATGCTGTATTCTGCTGTGTTGATTTCTTTTGTAGTTCTTGCCAATCTTTGGTAGAGTAGGGTGGGTCATGTCTTCATCATCCTGGGAAATACAAATTTGCCTGCCACACATTTAGCGCTAGCTAGTGATCGCACAATGATTCATGGGTGACAGTTTGCATATCAGTAATATTGTGTGCTGTAAATTAAATGTTTTATTAATAGATAGGCCAAATTATCTTTGCCAATAATATGTTGAAATCTTGTTGATAAGTATTTTCAGATATATTTAATTAGATATATACATTTAAAAAACAAACAATCATTTTGCAGACATCCTGTAATAACTCTGAGGACTCCCTAGGGGTCACAGCTATATAATATTGGGGGAGACAATCTGATACTTCCTGAGTGTTGAGGGTATCTTGTACCCCCAAAAGTGTATTGTGATTACAGCCCTGCTTCATATTCCTGCTTCTCCGCCACTAATGATTATTTTCATAGATGGATGTACCTGGTTTTGTAGATTGTTTTTCGTCAAGGCTATAAATCATGTCATATATTACTATAAATAAATTTACATCTGCCTCCTCTTATAGCTGAACTCCATTTCTAAACCAAACTTTTATTCTGGTCCCTGTGTCTTTTTTTCTATTACATAAATACAACATAATTAAAACCACTGTCTTTTTTCCAGTGTGATCTTAAAAACCAGACAAAAAGTAGAAGTATTTCTATGGATTTAATAAAGGTGAAAATATATTGAAGCTACTTTTAAAGTATGATTTTGTCTGTTGACTGCTGACCCTCATTCTCCATCTTTCTAACTTGTATTTAGCAAATGGTTCCTTTCAACAGGCTGCAGGCTGTATTACCAACAGCCATTGGAACCCAGCTGATTTTGCCAAGAAACAAAGGAACGACGATTTTCTTTACATTAACACAGCCCGTGTGTCGGTGCTTGCCAGTGCATGTGTGGGTATGTGACATTTCAACATGTTGAGCTAATTAACACACAAGCTGCTGAACCAGTTTCTGTAATATTTCTACCTACAAATGCCCGAGGTGGAGATTTAATTTCTGTTATTGTTCTGCTCTTGAGGAGGATGTGAGTATCTCAAAGAAGGCTCTCAGCATAAAAGGCAGATTTGTAACTTAAAACCTATGAGGTTGAATTCAAAAGAGTGAAAACCACTCAGAGAAAATTTCCTTTTTCTCTGATAACTTCAGATCCAGAGGTTCAGGAGGTTTTCACTGGGAGCTGAATTATCCGCAAAGGTCTGTTCCTCTCAAGAAATAACTAACTAACTAACTAACTAACTAACCTAGTAATTTAAACCTGTAAAAACACTGAATAAGCACTTTCACGTGACAGATCTGTGTTTTTCCGACACTCTTCTCTTGTCGCAGAGGAGCTGCAAAATATGGTAGCAGATGTAAAAATGCAAAAAATTTGAAAACATGAATGGCTCTATCCAGAGACAATTTTGGTTTGTCCATCTTAGGCTACTGTAGAAACATGGCGGTGCAACATGGTGATCTCCGAGGACAAGGACCCTCTCCCCATGTAGATATAGACGACTCATTGTAAGGTAACGAAAGCACAGCGATTCTAATTTACAGGTGATTATACGCGACAGAAAATCTCTTAAGGCCCATTATATTACGTTTGCCAGTATACCCCCCAAAATCCTACACACTGAGCCTTAAAACAAGGTTTCAGTTTGTGAGCTGTTACATATACTGTGTCCCTCTGTGACAAAAGGTTTTTGTTTCTCACTCTGCTCCTGCCTGTATATTCCACACCTTGCATTTCAATTGCTTAATCCTGACTGACAATTTGATTAGATCTGTGAGTGGCTGGCTGACCTGATCATTCACACCTACTGAAGAGGTGAGATCAGTATGATTCATGGTGTGATTGGTGCAGCCTGTATAAGAGGAGGTGGGGTACTCTTAGCCTACAGCCCCTCCCAGGGAAGTGCCCATGGCAACATAAAAGTTTCAAACAGGTTGAGACTAGAACCCAACCAGGAATGTTTCTCTTCATAGTGAAAAGGTTTTCTAAAAGGAGTCAGACACAGAGGGATTATGATTGAAGATCTCTTCCAGTCCTCCACTTCAGTCTCCCTGTTGGTGGCCATCGTGGGCCTGCTGGTCCTCCATCTTTTCTACTCCTGCTTCAGCTCCCAGGACAATAAGAGGGAGCCTCCAGGACCTAAACCTCTTCCCCTGCTCGGCAACTTGCTTCATGTGGATCTCAAAAGACTCGACAGCTCTCTTCTTAATGTAAGAAATGGCTTGTCTTACTATATAATGACGGAAACTCTGTCTGTGGGTGTGTCTGTGTGTCTGTTCCACGTTTTTCTCATCACTGACTTGGTCAATCCATGTGAAATTTGGCACAGTGGTAGAGGGTCATGGGAGGATGCGAATGAAGGAATATTACATCAATTGGCCAAAGGGGGGCGCTATAGCAACCGATTGAAATTGCAAACTTTGAATGGGCATATTTCATGCCCCGTATGTCGTAGAGACATGAAGCTTTGCACAGAGATGGCTCTCCTCATTTTTTGAAAAACACTTCAAATTGATCTCTTCCTAGGAAGTCTGACCGATCTGCATGAAACTCGGTGAACATAATCTAGGGACCAATATCTAAAGTTCCCTCTTGGCAAAAGTTGGAAAACTTACTAAAACTGAGCTTCTATAAGGCAATGAATATTGCGGAGGGCGTGGCTCATCACATAAAGGTGTATAACATCTCAAGGGTTTCACCGATCATCACGCAACTTTGTAGGCATATGACCACACATAATCTGAGGGGACCCCTCCATTATTGACCCCATCAAACAAAATGGGGGCGCTAGAGAGCTAATTTCTTACCTAGGGCTAACCGCCATATCGATTTTTACTAAACTTGGTAGATATGTAGAACAGGACACCTCAAGGTGACTGAAGAAATTTAACTCTAATTGGCAACTGGATGGCGCTATAACAACGGAAAAATGCTTAAAAATGGCTAAAATGTGACCGATCGCTGTGGCTCCCCCTGTGGACCAATGTTTTTGTTTTTTTTTCTAATTTTTGGTATGACTAAGTTAGTCTGGGGCCATTTAGTGGCCGTTTTGGTAAGGAACCGGAACCAGGGCGAGAGAGACAGGATCCGGAATTCGATGGATACGCCTTTCTGTCAAAATAAAAGCACCAAGCTAATAAAAATGCAGTGAAACCTTTTAATTTAAAGAATACAATTTACAAGAAAAGCCCCAAGCTATTAAGTTAACCTTTTTCTTTTATTGTAAATTGATGGTGCGCCAGAATTTGATTCCAGACCCGCTCTTTAAACCGGAACCAGAATCCAGACAAAATTCAGAGTGAATAGAAACCAGGGTCTCGCCTTACATGAAGAGCCTGGTGACGCGAGGTTATGACTAAATCATGGTTTGGTATGCTGTACATAATCACGGAAACTGTCAGTGTGTCATTCTGTCAGTCAGTCAGTCATTCTACCAGTGCGCCCCACTTTTAAGTCCATACAACATGTAATGACTTCAACTATCTGCCTTTCAACGTGCTACCTCAACTACTAATGTACAGTTTTAGCCCACTAGCTATCCCACTATTGGCAATGGTACTACTGTACTTTCAATAAAGCAATCGTACTATCCACCTCACAAAAACTCTGTCTGAATACAATGCTCTTCTTAATGGGTTCAGTTGACTATTTAATCTGCAATTTCCTATGACCTGTATCCCAAACACA